ATCTCCTGGAGAAGGGAATGGCTACCCACTCCAGTATTCTTGCCTGGAGAATCCCATAGATGAGGGGCCTGGTGGGCTATAGTCCACAGGGTCGTGAAGAGTCAGACATGACTGAGCAACTAACTAATGCTTTCACTTTCACTTCAGGCAACTCATTGTCTCTCTAATTCCTATTTCTGTTCATAAAATATTTATCTTGGGATCTGTGATTCTCAAACTTTAACATGCATCAGAATCACCTGGAGAACTTGTTAAGCTACAGATTTGTTGGGCCCACTGTCCCAGAGTTTATGATTTCATAGGTCTGGGGTGGGGTCCCAAATTGGCATTTCTAAGTTCCTCATGATGGGCTGCTGTTGCTTGTCCAGGAACCACACCTTAAGAACTAGATAAAAGATAAATTCCTAAAAATGTGGGTATAAATAAGACTTTTATACATCACATTTTAACTCACTAGTAAAATCTGTAAATTGAAGAAACTAATTTTCCTTGGAAAATAAAAAGCCCTTGTTAAAAAAAAAAATAATGCTTCCCAGATAAACTTGGTAATTCTGATTTGCTTGAGGGTTGGGGTGAAGGGCAAATGTGTATATTAAATTAATTCCTTGGGGGTCATATAACCTGTAGAATATATGAAACTAATTCTCTGATAGGTAACTATAAGGGACTCACAGGAAAAGTTGCAAGTAAGTTTCACCTCTGCTTTAAAATTCCTTATCTGTGCACCCTAATAGGATTTTCTGGTTCACTAGTTTGTTTTTCTTTTCTTTGCCTGTTCTTAATGTCTGTGTACCAGGAATTTGGTGCCCCTAAACAGCATTTCCAACTGAGATTAAAAGGGCTAATGCTAAATCCTGCCAGCTCTAGACTTGGTCACCAGATGAGTCATAGAAACCGCTGCAACAGACTGAATCACACTGCTCTCCTTCCATCAGTCATGACCGAGGAATTCAGTTAGCCAAACTCAGAAATTAAAATCTGAAAACAAGGACTTTATTTTTCCATAGTAATGTTGGATCAGTATTGGCAAACAGAAGGCTGACAGTAGCATGAAGGCGAAAGTAGAGATTCATCAATAATAACTGCCTCAGGTGATGGCCTTGTTCACTTGGTACATTTCAGAGGATGCAAGGATAAGTACTGACTGACCCTGGGGATCTCTGGGGTTTACAAACTGTGCTTCAGAAATTTTCTTTCTTCCTTATAGACTGTGAGGTTTAAATGTCTGCCACTAAGTCCGACATCTGTTTGGAATGTGGTATTTTCTCCCTTCTAAGTAGGTATTTAGGATCAATAAGGGCAGCTATCTTCTATTCATATCTTGAAGGACTGTGAGCCATGGTTAAAATACCCATAATATACCATGATAGTGTGGCAACTCTGCCAAATCACTGTTTCGTCCTTTCCCATTTGAACTTGTGCACTAACAGGTAAGTTTTAACTTTTCTCCAAGTGTGGAAAAAATGGGACTACTAAAATGATGTCTATAGTTGCACTGAATTAGTTTTTATTAAGTTTATTAAGAGTTCTCTGTGCCTTCTGTCTTTCTCCTCGGGATGAGATATGGGATACCTCCCTTTAAATCTGGTTTAAAAAATAATCTTGTGAGCTATTTGAGTACACAAAGTAGAAAGCATTAAGAATAACAGGAGAGAGAGAGAGATTATCACTGTAGCTTGTCTCATTTCCCTGAACTTGAGGGAGAGAATGGGAAGAAGACTGGGTCACAGAGAAGAATCCAGGTTGCATGGACTTGAGGAAATAGTGGCCTTGAGGAAATAGTTTAAGTTTCCTTGGTTTTTAGTAGTACTGGCTGACGTTGGAGGGCTTTCCTGAAGCTCTTTAACAAGTTATATTATAAAGTTTTCATATGTATATACTGTCTTTTCAAAGCAGAAAAAATTTATTTCTGATCTTTTATCTCCCAGGAGATGGAGCTAAAAGGAAAAGTATTTAAGCCTCTGCAACTTTTCATAAATTGAGGGAGGTTTTAATTCCCATTTCATTCACTTAAGTATCATACATTATGATAGGCTTGGGAAAACCAAGAAAAATTCACTACTTATCCCCTCAGTGAATTTCAATGATAGTAGAAGGATAAACATGAAAACAAAAATTATAATACACTAACATGATTTCTGTAAAAATGTTGAGCATGGAGTGCTGTGATAGTCTACAACAGATGCCTAATTTCTCTGGAGGAGTCTCTGAAGGCTGCATAGACATTTCTCAGGCAATCAAGAAGGAGAGGGAGATGCCAGAAAACAGATCATATGCAAATGATAAGGAGGGCTGGCTTGTTAGTGTGTGAAAGGCCAAAGAGGAATCTGGCAGGAGATGAGGCCAGCCTGGGAAGTAGTGGCTGCATAAGGCATGGAGTTTGGGCTAATCACAAGATGTTTTGTTTGACCCTGTTGTCAACAGGGAGAATTCTGGAGACATTGGGCGGCAAACACTCGCTCTAGTTTTTTCCAGAATTACAATGGTAGGGCTGGAGAGATGGGCTTCCAGAAATGACTTCCAGAACAAGACAGTCCAACTGGTCCCAAGAGGATGGTGGTGAAGCATCAGGAAGCTGCCACTGATGCTTTGGGGTTCAAGAACTCGCAGGGTGGCTGCAGTCCTGGGAACAGGAGTTGCCACCTTCAGCGCTGCTACAGCTCTCCATGCAGCATGGTGTCAGTGACCTCCCCGAGGCACACTGCTGCCAAAACCCCCATATTTCCATACCCCTGCTTGCCAACAGCAAGGACAATAGGAAACTAGGGCTTGCTTCACGTTTGTTTTCTAAATATTTCACTGGAGCCTATCAGACTGGGAGGACGTAGTATGTATTCAGAATTCTTGTTGCAAGGGATCTGGATTTCGAAGTCTTTTCTTTCCAGCTTCTGTAGAAGGGCTCTCTCGGAAGAGGTTGGAATGGATGCTGAGGACCAATTCATCAAGTCTACTGGATATATGATGGGTGAAATTAGATGAGAAAAGACACAGAGAAGAGAAACAGCTGGGAACAGAAATATGGAACAGTCACACTGCAGGGACAAGTAGGGAGACAAAGAAGGAATGGTCACAGAGTTAGGAGAAGAATGAAGACAGTGTGGCATTGTGGCTACCAGTGCAAGACAAAAGCTTAGGAAGAAGGAAGTAGGTAAGTGTGAAAATGCTTTAGTGCAGTGATCATCAGTGGTTTTCAATTTTTGATCATTTTTTTAAATGAGATCTTTTCAGTGACAAACCCTGTGCTTACCTCCAATATTAGGCAAAGCTTTCATTGTCTGGAGTAATTTAAGCAAAAAAATTTAATTAATTAACTCACAATTTTAAATCCAGTGGGGACAGATCTAGCAACAGGTGCTTAGTTGGTATCACCTGCTAAGCCTTCCTATCACTCCCTCTTTTGGCTTTGCTCTCCTGCTCTCTGTATTGGATCATTGTCACAAAAGTTCTCTCCATGAAACCAGCTGAAAAATGGACTCTGGAAACCAGGCTTATCTATTGCTTACAACTTGTGATCCCAAAAGAAGAAGAGGCTCTTTCTTTCTTCCAGGATTCCCATATCAAATCTTAGGGAAGACACTGAATAGTCTGTCCTGGGTCATATGACTTTCAGGCCATCAATCACTTGCCAGCTATTGCAATAGGGTGTTCTGATTGGCCAGGCCTGGGGTACATGCCCATCCCAGCTGGTGAAGTGAAGTGAAGTGAAAGTCACTCAGTTGTGTTCGCCATTTTTCGACCCCGTGGACTGTAGCCTACCAGGTTCCTCTGTCCATGAAATTCTCCAGGCAGGAATGCTGGAGTGGGTAGCCATTCCTTTCTCCAGGGGGATCTTCCCAACCCAGGGATCAAACCATGGTTTCCAGCATTGCTGATGGTTTCTTAACTGAGTTACTAAGGAAGTGTGAGCATATATTCTGCCCTATCCAAAACATGTAAAGATTCCCTGAGAGAATCATCAGAAGTTATGGTTTTATATCCAGAAATAGGAGAAAGGGATGCCAAGCAGACAAACTCACCAGTCTCTGACTGGGCAATGCCAGGTTAAAGTTAAATAGGTTTGTCTCAGAATTCATAAATCATCATTTCCACTATATTCTGTTAGAAGTGTGTAATTAAATCTAGCCCACAGTTCCACATGAGAGTAATTATGTATTTAGAATGCATCACTTGAAAAATATATGATGACAGAGAGCCACTATGAATTTAATGACACTTAAAAATGAATTCATTGTTTAAATTCATGATAATAGTTTCTACATACATTAAAAATACATAATGACATCTTTCCTCTGCAAGTAATACTTTGGGAGATTATGGATTTGTGAGCCTGTTGCAATTTCTCTGATGCCCCCCAAACACAAATAAATTTCATGCCTTGAAGTTAAGTTAATCATGGAGTCCAAGGTAGCCTACGTACAATTTCAGGGACTATTAAATAAAGCAGTTCCTAGGAAATGTTACAAGACTCTCTTTTATTGAGTTTTTGGTGTACTCTAGTATTAAATACTTCATGATCCAGGTGGGTGATGTGACTTCCAACCAAGTAGCTAATCTAAAAACTACATTAAAAAATGACCAAGCAAATAGAGCTGGGGGCAAGGAAGCACCTACATTACACAATAAATATTTTCTTTTAATTCTTTTTTTTTCTAATTCCATCTTTTCTGTTTTCATCATTTTAGTATGCATATGGTGGCAAATCTGGGGAAAGAGCTTTCCATAATAACAGGAAATGAGGACATTACATACATGTACACACAGAGTGGGACACGACTTAGCGACTGAACAACACACACACACACATATGCACATACATACACATATGTATATATCCCCCCTCCCACAATTTCTAAAGGAGGTAGCTTTCCTTTCAGGACAACCCGAGACCTGTGCCATGGGAAATGGATTCTGGATCTGTGCCTCGTGACCAGGCTGCTTAGTACATTAGTTCTCCTATTTGCAAAATGGAGGCTGCTTGTCTTTCCTGCCTGGCAGGAACGATGCCGGTCCGCACGTGCGGCTGCAACCTCCCGGGAAGAGAAATGCCCCCCAAGGCTTTGGCTGAGAGGTCCCGAGTGCAGAGAATTACATTAGGTGCAGTATTCTCCGGAAGGGCGGTTCTGTTATTGGTCTGCGCAATTGTTTCCACGCTGGGAGTGCTCCTGTGTCCTTTTAGCAGAGCGACGGGGCTCGGTGATTGCAGGGCCAAGTCGGCCGGAAAGCGGCGGGCGCGCTTGGCCCCTCCAGCGCGCTGCTGGCTCCTCAGCTTGGGCCACTTGGCAGAGGCTCGGCCGTCCTGCTGTGGCCAGCGTCATCCCTTAGAAACAGCTGCTCCAGGGGGAAGCCCCAAACTGAAGCTGGGCTTGGCCCACCGAGGAGGCCGCGCTGTAATCCGGCCTGACACTTGAGTCCCCTAGAAGGACAAGCGCTGTAATCTAATCTAATTACAGGGAGAAAAAAAAATCTAATTTTTCTGTAAAAGAAAGGAAACAAGAAAAGGTAAAGGAAATGTAAAAATGATACTATATGTACAAATTACCCAATGATACTATACCATGAACTATTTGTATTGAAGTCTGGAATGGTTTTCAAATAGTCAATTATTTGTAGGGAAAACCTTTAATTGGGAGGAGTAGGTAATTTTATATGCTTGTTAATGGAATCCAGATTTGTTTGCCCTGTTTTAAGAACCTAATGTATTTGTTACCTATTTTGTTAATTTACTTTTTAAATTTTTTCTTTTTGGCCCCTTGTGGAAGCAGGGAGTCTTAACCACTGGACCAGGGAAGTCCCTGCTGTTTCAAATTTTAAATTTGATTTGTATAATTTTTACGACTCTGTATTTTCCTTGTTTTTAAACTTAAGGTTAAAAAGCTTGTTGTTATGTTTTTTGTTTGTTTGGCTTTGTTTTTAAACAAAAAGAACATCTCTTTTTTGAGGTAAATGAAAAGCTTGAGGGTTTACATATAATTTTTTCAGTTCTCAGTTTCTCTTTGCCAGAATTATTAGATTTTCAAATATCCTGAAAATTGCTGTAACCTGTCATGATTAGCAATTTAACTAAAACTTTGTTTTTAGGGTGAGTTAATATCAGATTTGGTACATTTGTTGAGCAGTTAAGGAAACTGACAGTACTGTTACATTTTTTCCCACATCTTATAAACTGACATTTGTGCATTCTAAGTCAGTAGGATCTCAAAATTTCCGCTTCCATTTTGTATTTAGGGAAATAAGATTTTGAGCTGATGTGCATTTTCTTTTGTTTTGAGTCTGTTTTACCTTATAGCTGCAAAAGTAGGAAAGTAATTACTTACACATAAGTAATTTAGTTACTTAGCAAGCTTTCTGATCATGTTATGGTAGCTTTTATTAAGTTCTCAAGTAAAGTAATTAGTGCAGAAAAGTTCCCAACTTGAACACTTCATTAGGTTCAAGATAATTGAAAAATACAACCAGTTTATGCCTGCACTCAAGGTCTCTCTCTCTCCCTCTTTTTCTAGCTCTCTGATCTGACAGTATAGGTGTGGTAACCTCTAAACATATCCCAGAAAATAAATGCTATGTCCAAACTGCATTGTAAAGTGAAAAAAAAAATCTGGCTCTGGAAGGATTTAGAAGAAATTGCCGTTTAGGTAACAGTGACATTTCACCATGCTGTGACATTGTGACACTACCAACCCAGGTTGTTCCTCTACTTTATTTAATGCCCAGCAACAATCGTTTGCTAGGTTGAAATGTTGACAGAATTCTAGTGTTTTTGTTTTTAAGGTGAGTGCCAAAATTGTCAGCAGGAAGCTTCTGCAAAATCCTCATGGTTGCCCAGAGAGAAAACAGTGACATGGCAATGTTCTAAATGTTTCCATAGTATGATGATCTTTGGTGGTTGTCTCTGGAAAATGGGAGGCCTGTATATCATTGGGAATTTCCTTATTTATTTCCTTAATTATTTAAAGTATAAAGGTCCTAGTGTAGGACAGGCAGCAAACCAGATGTCTAGGCCACTAGCACTAATTAAGAAAAATGCTTTGCTTTGAGGGGGAAAAAGGCTTTCAGACAGTTTCTGGCAAGTGTGATCTGACTCTAGATGGAGGTTGCCAGCAAGGATTTTTCTTCCAGGTAGTCATTCCAAACAGCCTGGTTTTTATATCAGTGGATGGGAAGGGGAGGAGCTCAGAAATCGCTTTTAATTTGTCAACCTTAAGTTCCTTTTCCTTTCACCGTTTTGTGCTTATCATCGGCTACCCATGAAGTGTGCTTCCTGCAGACACCATCTGCCCTTGCTGGCACCTCTGTCCTTGTTGGCACCTCCTGCCTGCTGTGTCCCGCCAGGTCTAGGACAGTGTTCTCAAAGGCTGGTCAGGACTCTTACTAGCTTGTAGACTGCACTTGAGGCACTAATGGATGTTCAGTGCCACTCTGATGACTCTATTTTTCCCTTATTATATCTCTCACTGTTGTTTCCTCCTAGTATGCTGTGGAAAAGGGGATTCTGAGGCTGGGTGTTGGAGGAAACCATTTAAAAGGGGCAGCCCTGGAAGAGCAAAGCGGCTTGTTGCTGGGTTGGAGCTTGGTGCTGTGTTCTGTGCCCTCCAAGGGCCAGCAAGTGTCCTGCTCTTCTCTTCAAGAGCCATGCACCCAGAGACTGGCTGTAGTGTACCCTGTGTGTGTACCAGTCGTGTCCAGCTCTGCAACCCTGTGGACTGTAACCTGCCAGGCTCCTCTGTCCATGAGATTCTCCAGGCAAGACTTCTGGAGACTGCCATGCATGCAGGGCATTCTGCCATGCCCTCCTTCAGGGGATCTTCCTAACCCAGGGATCAAACCCTCATCCCTACGCCTTCTGGATTGTTATTTAACAGTGGGGCAACCTGGGAGGCCTGTAGCATGCCTTACAAGGTGCTAACTACACTATTACCTCTCTGAACTCAGCTCAAGTCCTCTCTCCTTGGCTCACTTGGCACCAGCTACCCTGACTATGCTTCAAATACACCAGCTACTGTCAGATGCTTACAGGGCTCACTCCCATGCATCCTTCAGGATTTTATTTAAATGTTATCTTTTCAGAGAATCTGTTCTTAGCCATTCTATGTTACAATCACTATCATTCATACATGTTGGGTTTCTGTCTTTGCATGTCACCATTTTACAAAATATATTTATAGCTTGCTCATTAATTGTTTATTTACTTAGGTTAGTATGTTAACTTATTATGTGTCTTCTCCCCCTGGAATATAAGGTAAATGAAAGTAGAGATTTTGTCTCTTGTTCACTGCTTTATTCCCAGCACTCAGGACAAGGCCTGGCACTTAGTAGTTACTCAATAAATATTTTTTAAAATACAAATAAATGTATGGAAGTCCCATACTTGCTCAGTTCAGTTAAGTTGCTCAGTCATGTCTGACTCTTTGTGATCCCATGGACTGCAGCACGCCAGGCCTCCCTCTCCATCACCAACTCCCAGAGCTTCTCAAACTTGTGTCCATTCATTCGGTGATGCCATCCAACCATCTCATCCTTTATCATCCCCTTCTCAGCTTGCCTTCAATCTTTCGCAGCATCAGGGTCTTTTCCAATGAGTCAGTTCTTCCCATCAGGTGGCCAAAGTATTGGAGTTTCAGCTTCAGTATCAGTCCTTCCAGTGAATGTTCAGGACTGATTTCCTTTAGGATTGACTGGTTTAATCTCCCTGCAGTCCAAGGGACTCTCAAGAGTCTTCTCCAACACCATAGTTCAAAAGCATCAATTCTTTGGTGCTCAGTTTTCTTTATGGTCCAACTCTCACATCCATACATGGCTAATGGAAAAACCATAGCTTTGATATATGGACTTTGTCAACAAAGCAATGTCTTTGCTTTTTAATATGGTGTCTAGGTTGGTCATAGGTTTTCTTCCAAGGAGCAAACATTTTTTAATTTCAGGGCTGCAGCCACCATCTGCAGTGATTTTGGAGCCAAAGAAAATAAAGTCTGTCACTGTTGCTATTGTTTCCCCATTTATTTGCCATGAAGTGATGGGACTGGATGCCATGATCTTAGTTTTTTGAATGTTGAGTTTTAAGCCAACTTTTTCACTCTCCTCTTTCACTTTCATCAAGAGGCTCTTTAGTTTCTCTTCGCTTTCTGCCATAATGATGGTATCATCTGCATATCTGAAGTTATTGATATTTCTCCTGGAAATCTTGATTCGAGCTTGTGCTTCATCCAGCCTGGTATTTCACATGATGTACTTTGCATATAAATTACATAAGCAAGGTGATAATATACAACGTTGATATACTCCTTTCCCAACCTGGAACCAGTCTGTTGTTCCATGTCTGGTTGTAACTGTTGCTTCTTGACCTGCATACAGATTTCTCAGGAGGCAGGTAAGATGTTCTGGTATTCCCGTCTCTTTAAGAATTTTCCACAGTTTGTTGTGATCCACACAGTCAAAGGTTTTAGTGTAGTCAATGAAGCAGAAGTAGATGTTTTTCTGGAATTCTCTTGCTTTTTCTGTTATGCAACAGATGTTGGCAATCTGATCTCTGGTTCTTCTGCCTTTTCTAAATCCAGCTTGAACATCTGGAAGTTCATGGTTCACATATTGCTGAAGCCTGGCTTGGAGAAATTTGAACATTACTTTACTAGCATGTGAGATGAGTGCAATTGTGTGGTAGTTTGAGCATTCTTTGGCATTGCTTTCTTTGGGATTGGAATGAAAACTGACCTTTTCCAGTCCTGTGGCCACTGCTGAGTTTTCCAAAAATGCTGGCATATTGAGTGCAGCACTTTCACAGCATCACCTTTTAGGATTTGAAATAGCTCAACTGGAATTCCATCACCTCCATTAGCTTTATTCATAGTAATGCTGCCTATGGCCCACTTGACTTTGAACTCCAGGATATCTGGTTCTAATTGAGTGATCACACCATCGTGGTTATTTGGGTCATTAAGATCTTTTTGTATAATTATTCTGTGTCTTATTGCCACCTCTTTTTAATATTTTCAGCTTCCGTTAGGTCCAAACCATTTCTGTCCTTTATTGTGCCCATCTTGGCATGGAGTGTTCCCTTAGTATCTCTAATTTTCTTGAAGAGATCTCTAGTCTTTCCCATTCTATTGTTTTCCTCTATTTATTTGCATTGATCACTGAGGAAGGCTTTCTTATCTCTCTGGGCTATTCTTTGGAACTCTGCATTCAGATGGATACATCTTTTGTTTATTCCTTTGCCTTTCGCTTCTATATACTTGTTATATCTGTTTTAATCTGGGACTTCCCAGGTCGCTTAGTGGTAAAGAACCTGCCTGTGTTGCAGGAGACATGGGTTCAAGTCCTGGGTCAGGAAGACTCCTGGAGGAGGGCATGGCATACCACTCCAGTATTCTTGCCTGGAGAATCCCATGGACAGAGGGACCTGGCAGGATGCAGT